ATGGGAGGGGAAATTTTGGGGTACAATAGATTCCTTTCTTGTGGACCACAAAGCCTAAGAAGTCCCATGCCTGCACACAAAATGCACATTTAAGGGGGATCATTTTCAAACTATGCGTCCTCATTCTTTCGAATGATTGTCTAAATGAGTCTTCCCTGATACAAACTTAATAACAATACCATCAATGTAAATCTGCATAAAGGTTTTGATGAAGTCATGGAAAATAGAGTTCATCACCCTTTTTTAGGCTACCCCAATATTGTTTAAATTGAAAGGCTTGACTACCCATTTGTAAGTTCCTAGGGAACCCGAACAACAAAATACCGTTTTAGGCACATCTTCGTTAGCAATAAATATTTAATTATATCTATAATATCCATCAAGCATACTAAGTTATTTGTAGCATGCAGCCAAATTTATCAATATTTCAGCTACTAGCATGGGGTATTCGTCCTTTGGGGTTGCATAATTCAAGTCTCTGAAGTCAATGCAAACCCTTAAAGTTCCATTCTTCTTAATCACAAGAGCTATATTGGCAATCCATTCGACATACATGGTGGTGCGTATGAATTTACACATGATAATCCTTTCGATCTCTTACTTTATCTTCGACAAAATCTCTGGTGTTATGTGCCTTAGAGTTTTCTTGATGGGCTTCTTCCCAGGCTTGATATGAAGAAGTAAAAAACACAAGAAGGGGTTGAATTGGGATCTCAATAAACAATGGAAAGCACACGATGATTTTTATCCTGGTTCGTTTGAACTCAAACTACTCCAGTACACCCGCCAAGGTGATTTCACCTCTCTCTAATGAGGTCTTAATTCACTAATCAAACTTGATTACACAACTACTTTGACTACTGCCAAAGTCTTCTTGAGTCCAAAACCACAACCCGGTTTTCTCAAGGAAATGTCTAAACAGTTAATTGAATAAATGTCTACAATGGTGTTTCTACTAAAACAGTATCACTAACAGTGATGTTTTACACAATTTAAGTATGAGTGTTTAAGGATGAAATATATTGTTGCGTTGTTGTAGCTTCACGTAATTTCTTCTTTTTGTGCGCAGTGGTTCATCACTTGAAATCTTCTTTTTGTCTGCTTTATATAGGCCATGCACTAGTGACATAAGAAGATACTTTTGGTATGTCCATAACACGAGTTTAATGATCTTTCCAAACCAGAAGATTCTTGTCTGTTTGTAGCCGTTACTTATGATACTGCATTGATGGAGTTATAACGCTTCAAAACTTCTCACATCAGAGGATGAATATTACTGTTGAGAGTCCTTTACAGCTTGTATCAGAACTTTGCAAATCAGAGTATTAGAGATCCTGTTTCACAATGCTGGTGCATTCAGAAGTTGTAACAGAACTTAAGCGTGTCACACAAATTTGACGCGTCTGAATCTATCATGGTACTCTCAACTTCTATGCTCGCATAATCAGAACTTCTAGTGATGTTCTGGCAGAACTTCCAGTTGCATCAGAACATATTTTTTCACATCATAACTTCCTGCATGTAAAGATACTTTTATTAGCGAGCATATTTGTTCTTTATATCATGTGTTTGTTATTATCAAAACTCTTACTGAGATGTAGAACCAAATTATGTTCTAACATGATAGGAAACTTAAGTTCTACCATTTCTCTGTTTAAACCAGACATTTCATCATAATCCTATTTCTCTTTGAAACGGGTTGAACAAGAAAAGTTTTAAAAAAAAAATAAATGTATAAAAAGGAAAAAAGAAATAACTTATCAAGCATGCATATATACTACTTCTCAGATTTAAACCTATCGACCTGTTATACTAAAACTACAATAATCATCAATGTCATCACATGTCAAACACAACCTAAGTCATTTCTAACTCAAATTGAGAGGTCAGCTACATCACCTCGGTAGCAATCTCTCAACCACCTCAACCACACATAAGTCAACCGTGCTCGCTTGCATCACGATCTCTCATAGCAACATAAACAACACAGAGGCATTAAACATAGACACCCTAAGTGAATAATAACTCTAAATCTATCTCTAGGATTTAGACACTATTAGATAATCGTCCTAGATAAGAATTCAAGCAGTATATATCTATAGCAGCTCAAATCCCATGCACAATGCATAAATCAAGGACAACAACCGACAAATATTATAAAGAAAGTTTTATATAACACCAAGGGCGACAAATATACATGAGTTCAAAGTAAATACAAATATAAACCCAACCAATAGAGAATACATAAAGAGAAATGAACCATACATGTATCAGTTTTGTTAGCATCGATCAAAGAGTAATCCACCCCGGATCATCCGTATGCAAGCTTCGTAGTTGTTATCTAAGTTAATCCTAACAAAATTATAGGTTGATAGAGTAAGGAGAAATAAACTTCCCCAAAACCATCACCTAATAAATAAATGGAATGAATTTATAAAACAAATCTCAACAGACCCTGCTAAGCAGGCCTGACACACTAAGCGTAACTTCTTTATTTTACACATGAAACCGCCCTAAACTATACTAAGCGCAATATCCGCTCTAAGAGAGCTTCAAAATAATGCTTCTTCCAAAATGTCAAAACACAAGCAGCACGCTACAAAATGCATTGAGCGCACTCGCGCATAGTGGCCTTTTGCGCACTAAGCAGACTCTCCTAGACAAAAATGATCTTTATTCCGAAAACGCGCATCCAGAGCCGTGCCTTTGACACCTTATTCCTCGATGCTCCAAAATGCAACAAATATCTACAAAATGAATGGAAAAACATCAAACGATATACTATGTACACAAAAACACAAATAAACACAGACTAAATGTATTTACACAAAAGTCGGGTTTATTCAATGATATTAACAACAATGAGTCGATAAGTTCAACAAAAAGTATATACAAAAATATCAACAATTTGCACTTATCAAAATCTTCCCAACTTGAACTTGTTTGTCCTTAAACAAGGCCAAACAACTCAAAGAACCAAAACTAATCAACCAAAATATCATGAATCAACAAGTTTTAAAACGGAAAACAAATGTATGATTCAAACAAAAACGCATACACAAGGTAAATACTTACCACAATCCTATAACGACAACATGTAAAAGAAACAAATCCTAAGTACAAAAATCATACTAAACATTTTAAAACAAAACAAGATCAATAATGAATCACGCCTAGTAAAAATTCATCGGTAGATGAAGAACACACAAAGATGAGGGACAAAAAATACTCATTCATAATCTTGCAAACAAAAGACTAAATTATGCATTCATCTAAAAACTCATATTGAAAATACAAAAGCAAGAATCACAAGGGCTTTTTAAGATTGTAATGTGGTTTGGTTAACAAATAAAGGATAAGTTCTAAAGCTAATCGAAATAAAAACTTGCCTTACCCTAAGGGAGTGATCAACTCACAAAGACTCAAGCAAAATAATTGCAATCAAACTTCTTATTCATTCCAAATTTCAAAATAACACACATCACTTATTAACACAACATTATTCCATACTCTTTTTGTTTTTGCTTTTCAAAACTTTTCTCTTTTTTCTCTCTTTTTATTTTCTTTCTTTTTCACTTTTTTCTTTCTTTTTTCTTTTCTTTTTCTCTTTCTTTCTCAACCTCATAGTAATACGCACAAGCACATAAACATTTCACTTCCCAACTTGAATTCAACCATATCATAATGTGAATACTCACTACTTTTTAAGGCAAGGTAAAATTCAAACTACAACTCATAGTTAAAAGTTCAAGAAACAAAGAATCAATATCCATACAAAAAGATGAACCAAACACTATAGACAAACATTAAGCAAAACTAACATGGGTATTAACAAAAAAAAAGAGATACTAATGATCACACACTCTATCGTACCCCAAATTTGCCCATCCTATATTTCTACGGTCAAAAATATTTTCAACATTGGTTTTATAATATTCTTTGATTTTTATAAATATTTGCTTCAAAACCTATTTAAAAATATAATAATTTATTTCAGATCATTTGTAATTTTAAATAAACAAATACTTGCTCGTCTTCATGTACTTTCAATTGGCTTTTTATTTTGAATAAGTAATATAACACAGTTGGTAAGAAACTTTACTGGTTAAGTTTTTAAACCTAATTCTAAGCCTATAAATAAGACTATTGTGTATCATAATTTTTCATCCACAAAATTTGCTATCTTCCAAACACTTATAATTCTTGTTTTTTGGTTTATTCTAGGGGTTTTGACTTTATCAGACAACAACCTAAGAACGATAACATTTTTCATCTTTCACAATTTTCTACGCATTTACAAACAACGATTTTTTTATTGACCAATGATTAAATATGTAGCCACCTTTTTTGTTTTCAATTTGATTTTTCAATTTATTTTTTATTTTAACCAAATGATGATTCTGATGGTTCTTTTTATTAAATCAACAATTTTATCCACAGATCCAGAAATCGACAATCTCACAATCTCAATCTTTCTCTTACTTTCGATTTATTCTAAGGCTTCTGTGTGAAACAAATCCAAAAAAACATCTAACGTTCATATTTTTTTTCTTCACGATACATGCATACTCACTACAAACTATACATATCAACACAATGTTCATATATATCATCTCTCTTACTCTTTTACGTTAACACCTACTAATTCTTTCACAAAAATATAAGTCAAACCTATTTGTATATATTATTTTCAAACAATTAGCATACACAGTAAGTATCACATACACATTATGTAGAAACTTATTTTCACACAATAACGTGGACTCATATACAACTTTATTACATATCCTATTTTTTGCAACAACACATTTTACATCATCATCACTAACCTTAACTCAAAATCATACACACACATTAAATTAGCACCATGTAAACAACAACTTCAATAATCATTTAACAATAACAATTTTCAAATAAAGGTCAAACCCAACAAACGCAAACAGAGAAATCACAAGCCAAGAGTGGTGGAAAAGAAATAAAAAAACTTAGATCCTCTATTGTTAATTGTGTTTTTCTTTCATTCTTGTTGTTGTTTTTTCAGTTTTTTTGCTTGCAGAAAAAAGGAAGAAATCAAGTTCGCTCCCTCTGATGAATCGGAAGCGCAACTGGTGACATGCTACAGATCTGTGGTCACCATCATCCACACAACTACATATCCAATGCTTACTTTCGATGCAAACAACTCGTGGCCGATCACCACCACACACCAGCAAAGTCCTCGTCGCATTCTCCTCACTATATCCAGATTTGTTGTTTTGACCATGAACTTGTGGTGTTTGTTTGTATTTGAAATGGGGGAGAAAGAAACGATGAAAAGAAGGAAGCAGAGTGTTGGAGAAAGAAAGAGTAACTGAGTTTGGATCTGAAACTCTCTCAACGTGTAAGTATTTTGGGTTTTTATTTTATTTTTTATTAATCAATTTAATGCTACTTGTCGTTTTCTGTATGGCTGTAATTTCAAGTTAAATTGGTCAAAATCTTCTCCATGAAACATCTGCCGACCCATACTTATCTTCGCTGTAACTTTCATATTATTTCTTCTTTTTGTTTTTTACGTTATGTTAGAAAGATTTAAAATTAGGATTTTGGAATTTGGACTTTGGGCTTTGATTTCTTTTTACTAACTCACACCGCTATTTTCAGCTTTACACTCGCTCATATTATTTTATTTTTGTTGTTAACTTTTAATTAATTTGGTGTCATTAGTTTATTTTAATATCAAGAAGCGCAAAATGATTTAGATCATTAGTTTTAGATTATTTGACTTATTAATTATATGTATTTTTTGGAAGCTTCGATTCAATTACATCACTTGTAAATGAAATCTCCATTAATCTATACATTAAAACAAATACTTCTTAAAATAATTATTTTAATATTTTACAAAGATATAAAAAACCACGCAATTCACCAACGGGCGACACATGGTCAATATCTAGTCACATGATGAGGAAGACTTTATTAGACTCCTCACTCTATGTCCTACCATACTTTCCAATCAAATCGAAATTCAAAACAGCTAACCAACAATATCAAATCATTTTCTACTAATATAATCAAAATCAAGATATTTTAAAAAAAGGATTAAGGAGAATTACTTTCAAAATTAACTGCGAACCGCGTCTACGATCACTCTTTTACAAAATCCACACAAGGTTCAAGGATAAATTCAAAAGCAATTCTATGCAATCCTATAAAAAAACACCCACCAACACTGCAAACTACGAATTGGAACTCTGATTCCTCCTAAGAGGATACGTATGCATATGACTAAAATCGTGGCGAGTTCCCCTAATAAAAAAATTAAAACCCTATTTCTCAAAGATTGTGTTTCTAAACCCTAGTATCCTTGTGAACAAGGTAGATGGGGGGTTCCTAACACATTTCCTTCATCTAAGAACGAGTCCAACAACTTAGAATCTCTGACTATATTAGGGTTATACTTTATATTCCCTTCTCAAAGATAAAAATTAAGGTTGGCGACTCTCATTTCAAAACCAGTTACAACATACTCACAAGGTGAAATGACTATTTGGCCAAGGTAGTTGTGCTCAAAATGAAACAAAAAATGTCTTCATCATGTTCAAGCTTTCACACAATCAATACAAACAAAAGATTAAACATAATAAAATCCAGTTTAAACAAGAATTATGGCCTCTAACATATATGAACAATGGAAAGCTTCCTCACATTTATGGATAAAAAGGGAACTAAAGTGATTCAAGTCATGAGCAAGTAATGCAAAAAGAATGAATGGTATGGTAATTATAAAAATGATAAATTTTCTAAACATGTTATGTTATAGAAAGCGATAAACGAGTACCTGGCGTGTATCAACTTCAAAAACTATTATTACCATACATCCGCAAGTTGACACACTTAAAATCAGAAAATCACCAAATGCGACTTCAAGCTATCAGATCAAAATTTGAGTCCAAAAAACAAAAGAAAGAATTAAAAATATTACTATTAATTACTATACTAGAAAGCCTTGGGTGAAGTGGGAAAAAGGATAGCCAAGCGAAAAATTAAAAAGAATTCACTAGCTCTGCACACTAGGGCGTGGTAAGCGGCACAGAGTACGCTAAGCGCACTACACCAGTTGTAGAAAAAAAGGACATCAACAGCAGTGCAATAGCACCCTCCACAATCACCTACACAACCTCAAACATACAATATTTACAACAAACAAACTTCCTCAAGCTAAACACGACAATCTTGCGGAAAAACACAAATTGACATAACGAAACAAACGATTGAAAGTGAATTAACAAGTTGAAAACTGAAATTTTGAGAATTTAAAACAGGTCCAATTTCAACTTGTTAAAATTTAAGTCAACACATAGATAAACGAATACAAATAAAACTTGCTTATTTTTTGTCGTAAGCTCGACGCCTTTATTGTACGAGCTAGTAACCTCCTCTCGTCATACCATGGTATTGTCACACCGTGCAAACCTAAAGAAAGTGTCCTAAGAACCACACAACAAACATTTCTAAAATGAAACAATTCACAACAATACGTGAAAACAAAGAAAAACACATATATGCACAAGTATGGAAAGTAAACACAAAACACATACAAGTAAAAATAGACAAGTTTATATACATACTTTATATAACATGTACATTAAATACAAAACTCGAAAACAAAGAAACTATCTCAATGCAATACAATAAACACCAATCCTCAGCGATGGCGCCAATTTGCTGGAACGCTAAAACGGCAAGCAAAAAGTAAAGTATTATTTTACTGGGTAATATAGGTTATATCGTATCATGTCCAAAAATATTGGTGAATTGAAATGTCGTTCGACACATATCTTGTTAATGAGTTTGGGGATAAATGGGTTGAAAAGAAAAATATTAATATAAAATACATGTATAAAAAGGAAAAAGGAATCACTTATCAAGCATGTATATATACTACTTCTCACAAACTTAAACCTATTAACCTGTTATACTAAACCTACAATATTCATCAATGTCATCACATTTCAAACACAACCTAAGTCATTTCTAACCTAAATTGAGAGGCCGAGTGCATCACATCGGTAGCGACCTCTCAAGCACCTCAATAACACATAAGTCAATTGTGCTCGCTTGCATCGACAATCTCTCAGAGTGACACAAAAAACACAGAGGCATTAATCACAGACACCCTTAGTGAATAATAACTCTAAATCTATCTCTAGAATTCAGACGCTATTAGATAATCATCCAAGATAAGAATTCAAGCAGTATATGTCTATAGAAACTCAAATCCCTATTACAGAGCAAAAATCAAGGATAGCAATCGACAAATATTTGTAAAGCAAGTTTTATATAATGTCAAGGGAGACAAATATACATGAGTTCAAAGTAAATACATATACAAACCCAACCAATAGAGAATACACAAATAAAAATAGAAATGAACCACAAATATACTTGTTTGTCAGTGCCGATCAAAGAGAAATCCACCCTGAATCATATATATGCAAGATCTATAGTTGTTATCTAAGCTAATCCTAACAAAATTAAAGGTTGATGAAGTTGGGAGAAAAAATTCCCTAAAACCATCACCTAACAAATGAATGAAATGAAGTTATAAAACAAATCTCAGTAGACCGCTCTAAGGGGGCCTAGCGCGCTAAGCGCGACTTCTTTATTTTACATATCAACTTGCCCTAAATCGCGCTAAGCGCGATATCTACGCTAAGCGCGATATCTACGCTAAGCGGGCTTCAAAATATTGCTTTTGCCAAAATGTCAAAACGCAAGCAGCGCGCTACAAAATGCACTGAGCACACTCGTGCTTAGCGGCCTTCTGTGTGCTAAGCGGGCTCTGCTGGATAGAACTTGTCTTTTATTCTAAAAACGCGCATCCATAGTCGTGTCTTCGACCCCTTATTCCTCGATGCTCCAAAATGCAACAAATGTCTACAAAATGAATGGAAAATATCAAGCATTACACTATGTACACAAAAACACAAACTAAACATATTTACATAAAAGTAGGGTTTATTCAACGATATTAACAACAAAGAGTCGATAAGTAAAACAAAAAAAAATATAAATAGCTACAATTTGCACTTATCAATCACTTCGACCTTGAGTTCTAGATTAAGGTTGGAACTTATGTAAGTTGGCCTCTTCACTTCTCCATTTCCCAAGTCTATTTCTTCAAGTGGGTCATGTGCTATTATTTTGATATTAGTATCTACCAGATCCTTTTAGAAACCCAAAGGTTTGTCATCATAAATAGCAGCGAGCCCCGGGCTTTTCGCATCGATGCCAGATCTATCAGGTGGCTCGGGTTCGAAGTCCACATTAGCTCCCTCTAGATGCACTGGAGTTTCTTTGGCTTCGACAGACATGTACATTACTTCAGCCTCCAAGGCCACTTTTAACTTTTTTTCTTCCATATAACCTAAAATCTTTTCCAAGAAGTTGGACTCATACATGATCATCATCTTCATCCCCTAGCCAGTTGACCAAAGTCCTAGTACCCCTTCTATATCATCTTCCTCTTCCATAATTTCCTTATCCCATTGGAACCCATGGTGTTGTACCCCAAAATTTGCCCTCCCATTTTACTCAACATATGTTCATGGAGATCCTCAACTTGCTCAAGGATACCCAAGAGTTGACCAGACAAACCCTCTCCTAAAGCAAGGAACCTCCAACTAGGGTTTCCCTTTTCATCAAGATGGGTGAGCTCCAAAGGCCTCAAATCTTTTCCATGGTCCTAATATGTTCTCAAGATCATCCATGTCAAGTTGTATGCCTTACACAAGAAGTTTGCACAGTCAACTGCTCAGATGCTTGAAAATCAACTGTATTAGGTCAAAAGTCAACTGTGACCCACATACAGTCAAACTTCAAGATTTTTGGTCAACATAAACATTTTGAAGTGATATCCATCATTTGATCAAGGGTTGATCATAATTCTTCAAGTAATGCTCCTAATTCATCAAAACTCAAAAGTTGCTAAATTAGGATTTCTCAGGAAAAGTCAACCAAACTTTGACCAAGCATAACTTTCTCATACTTTATAAGAAATTTCTAATCCAAGTCTCATTTTGAAGATAATCCAATTTCCTACAACTCATATTCATCCCTCAATTTCACAAAATGCACTCATAAAAAGATATGAATTTCTACATTATAGGTCCTTTTGAAAAGTCAACAAAAACACCTTTTGGGTCAACGCTTCTTACATGAACATGGAAGACCCAATTGAGATGAAACCAAAAATTTTGTTTATGGGACATCCTAAGCTTTCTAAAAAGTCCAAGAACACCTTCCTAGGGTCAAAATTGGAGGAGATATGCATTGTCAAAATTGGCCATTTTTGGAAAATTGTCAAAAGTCAAATATGCTCAAAATTGCATTTTTG